GAATACCTCCGGACACCTACTAATATGGACTTGGAAAGGCTTCTGAAGAAGGGCGAGATGCGAGGTTTTCTAGGGATGATTGGAAGCATTGACTGTATGCATTGGACTTGGAAAAACTGTCCAAGTGCATGGCAAGGCGCTTATGGGGACAGAAAATGATCAAAAAGTATCATTTTTTAGGCGGTGGCATCTTTTGATACATGGATTTGGCATGCCTTTTTCAGGGTTCCGGGAGCTCAAAATGACCTCAACGTCATTGCCCAATCCCCAGTGTTCAACGATGTCCTGCAAGGAAAGGTACCAAAAGTCACGTACTAGGTCAATGGACTTATGTACGACGGGCCATACTACCTAGCAAACGGCATTTACCCAAGGTGGGCATCATTTGTCAAAACAGTGCCACATCCACGAAGTGTAAAGGAAAAACACTTTGCGAGCTGTTAAGAATGGTGCAGGAAGGATGTGGAGCGTTGTTTTGGTATCCTCTAAGCTCGATGGGCGATTATCAAGGGTGCTGCCAGAATGTTTGATGTAGAGTCGCTTCGATCCATCATGATGACGTGCATTATTCTTCACAAAATGATTGTGGAAGATGAGTACGATTATGATGTCGTTGATGAATATGAGCCAAACACGATGAACAATTCAAGAACACGTATATATTGTGCTCATGACGCCACCGAAGAACCCATGCAACATGAGCCATTAGAAAGGGATAGACGTTACAATGAATTGGTCATTCAACGATATACTGCACTTCAAATGCCATATATGCACAATGCCCAGCTAAATGACTTGATAGAGCACCAGCAGGCATTGAAACAAGCTGAAGATAATTAAGTTCATTTAGTGTGTTTGGTTTTATTTGGTGTGTTTATTTAATTTTAGTTGGTGTGTTTTTTTTAATTCATTTTTAGTGAGTTTTTTTATTATTTGGTATGTTTATGTAATTTTATTTGGTGTGTTTTTGTCATTTGAATAAATATTATCTTAGTATAAATAACTTACCAAATTAAATAAATTTACTCTCACTTTAAATAAAGTACTAAATTCAATAAATTGGTAACAACATAAAGTACTCTATTCAATAAATAATAAATTACAACCCAAAGTGATTGGAAAACTATGGGCTCCGATTACAAAAACTACTATATTCATCATCACTTAACCAATTTGTGGTGCTAGGATGATCTTCTCTTGTCGTGCTAGGACCATTTTCTCTTGCTCTCGCTTCTCTTGCATGCCTCCTTCGCACCACGTCCGCTTTCTCCGACTTCCAAAAATATTTAGAATTTGAAGACTTCCTTTCTAAAGGCGTGTTCATAATTTCACGATCTCATTTAGCCATTCTTGCCTAAGTAGCTATCTTTCTCTCTGATTAGCTTGAAATTCTCTCTCTATAACTGCAGCTTTTGCCTCATTTCTAGCCTTATCAGCCTCAAATTTCGCCATTTCCCGCGCCAAAGTCAATTCACCTTAGCGAGTAAGTTCTTCCATGTATTTTGCATAATCATTCTTGGAAGCACTCCCTTTTCTCTTTGAAGCCTTCTTACCTTCAGGCCTAATTGGTTAACGGGTCGAACCCAACGCTTGTTTAGGAAGGGGCATTTCGGGCACTTCTTCTGCATCATCTTCATGAACATGCGAGCCATGATCGGATGTAGAATATAGAGGGGTGTTGTTCATGAAAACTTCTGGACCGACAGGCACAACTCTGAATTTAGGACAATCTTTGATAATATTCCAACATTCCCACCGGTTGAATGATTTATTTTTGCTTTTGGTTTTGGCACCATACCAAGCTTGTGCTTGAAGTTGCTACAAATAAATAGGTAACAAATAAATAAATAATTATAATGAAAGTAGGTAACAAATAAATAAATAATAATACAAACAAATAATTATAATGAAAGTAGGTAACATATAAATAATTATAATGAAAGTAGGAAACAAATAAATAATACAAACAAATAATTATAATGTAAATTTGGGTATAGTACAAACAAATAAATAATATATTGTTACCTGATCCGTGTAATTTTCCCCACTTCGAAGATTAGCACTAGCTTGTGCCAAGGCGTCTCTCCACGCACTAAACGATTGGCTAAGTAATTTCCAACAACTGGACATCGATTCTTTGGTTCTTTTCCCACCCATTTTCTCAAAATAATTGGTATGAATAAAACTCCATATTTCTCGCAACTGCATCTCATTACCCGTAAGCAAACTATGAGTAACTTCAACCCAGCTAGTACACAACGCAACATCTTCAAGAAGTGACCAATTCGTACCTGCATCTGTAGTCATTTTGTTGAAAAAAAATTGGATTGAAACTTTGAGAGAAAGATAGGAATTTGATTGAAAGTAGTTGAGAAAATATGAAATTGTGGTGTAAAGTAGATGATAATGAGAAGGTATTTATATAAAAGTAAAAACAATTTTTTTAAAAATTTTTCATATTTTTTTTCGGATTTTTTACAATTTTTTTAAAATTTTTATTGAACTAATTAATCTCTACTGTTGGATTTAAAAAAAAAATTGAATTCCAACCCTCTAGATTGTGCCACGTGTCACAACGGTAACTTTTTTTAATTTTAAAACTATTTTTTCTTTTATTTATTTATTTATAAAGCAAAATAATATCAACTGCCGATCTCAGATTCAACGATTGATATTAAATAAAAAAAATTATTTTTATTACCGTTGCAAATCGAACGACCCATTTTGAAGAGCCGTTGAGATCGAACGGAACGTGGAAAGCGAACGCGCCTGATAGAAAAAAAAAATTTAAATGGGACTGACGCCAGGTTGACATCAGCCCTACGTCAGGTCCACCTCAAGCTCGCGGGCTGGTGATTCCTCACAGGCCTGTTGCTCGGGCCTGCCCAGTCCCTCGGGCTCCCCACGCTGGAGGGCTTCAGCCGGGCTATCGTGGCCTGTTTGGTCCACTGTCCCCCGAGCAGCAACCCACAGTGGAGTTGCTCTGGGAGAACAAGATTGAAGGATTGAAAGAAAAAGTAAATTACATTTTTCTTTCATGGAAAGGACGGCACACAACAAACCTCAAAGTGAAAATCATGAATCTTTACATGGGTCAATTTCTATATTTGCAAATGCTAAGATACAAAGTACATCTGAAATCAACAAAAACTCGTTAGTGGGCACCAACAGAAATTTCGGATGAATGTTTAACGTTCGCGGGGTTGTAAAATGCAATCCTGGATTTGTCCGACGAAATAGGTGATAGAAGCAACACGGTATCCGTGTGCAAGTTGTACGAGCAAAAGCCTGTCATGAAATTTCCAACGTCCTGCGTAGTGCGTATCCTGCATCATACACTAGATCCAGGAAGTAGGACCAATCAACTTGTGCTCAAAAAAAAAAAAATATCCAACTAAGAATGTGAAAGGCCAGAAGAATTACAAATTTAACACTCTTCGCGCGCTTCCACCTATAGGTTCTAGCGTTTGAGGGTGTTGTTCCTCGAGTATAGTTTGAACCCTCTGTATAATAGACATCAGATGAAAGTAAAGATTACGAGAAAGAACAGCATCCCAAATTTAAAAATAAACACAGAAATCTTAGCGTTTTACCTTTACAGAACTTCCTACTTCCTCAAGTTTCTGCAGTAGCGTTAGATCCCCATACCTGAGAGACTTTGACGGGGACCCCTGAAGCTGACAATAGAAAGAAAGAGAATTTCTTAATTGAATATGATACAAGGGGATATTTGCTAGCATTCTTAATGGCCTAATGTGTTATCAAGGATTTAATCTACATGTCCCGATAAAGCTTGCCAGATATGACCAAAAAAGTTCAGCTTCTTTGGATAAGTAAGTATTGAGACTGGTTTGTTTGTAATGCTTGTACTAATATGTTGGCACACGCACACCAAAAAAATAAAAACTGGCATATGACCCTACCTTCAAATTTGGAATATCTTCGAGTGTGGAAACTTGTCTAGTGAAGACCTCATTTGTCATGCTTGCAAGGCGCATGAGGACCGCCTGAAATGGACGTCAGGGAAGACAAATTAACTCATATTTTCTAAAATTGGGGGCAACTTGAGAATAAGTGTTTAATTTAAGTGGTGAGTAAAATGCCTTCCTGAAAGCACTGGGATTTGCAATGCCATGAATTTGAACATCATCGCTTGGCGGCCTTCTGACACCAACATGCTCTATTCTAAGTGAGTAGACACCGAAGAGAGACTGCAGATATCCTGAGTATAACAAGAGTGTCATAAGGGGTTCTAAGACACTACTAGCAAGACTAAGGTAATGCAAGTGCCCAGAATCGAAACCTCAGAATGCAGTCAATGCACAGATCAATACAGATATTTCAAGAGTAGTAGGGGAACATCACATTTAAGTAGCAATTGTCAATGCTCTGTACCTTGCTCGATCACAACATCCGCCACTGAAGGCAACAAAACATGCTTCTCTTTCTTCAACACCCCGAAAATTGGAAATGGAACTGGCTTTGCATACTGAGCTAAAGAAACAAAGCGTTATCCAATGATAACCAGCAGCCCATAATTTCACATACCAAAAGCAACCAAATTCCACCAGCACTCAAAAGATTGATCAATCCATAAACAACCAAATTAACTGAGAACAAAAAACCGCATTCCGGGAGCTCAAATCATCAGCAACAAGATAGAGATCCAAACTTGAACTTCCAATTTACCTTGTAGACAATGGCATTGGGAGTGAGATAGAGCTTCCGCGAACGAATATCCTTTCGCAGAATGTGGCGCCGGACGGGCAGATAAAGCAGCATAAAAATCCCAATCCCCCACGCCAGTATCAAAAGCGCAGAGTAAAGAAGCCATTGTGCTGTTTGGTACTTGACAAAATTCTCCTCCATTTCCTGAAACGAAGCTGAATACAGAACTGCTTCTTCAGCTTCAGCCTCGGTTGCAGTTTCTGACAGTAACCCTTTCTCCAAGCTATCAATCTCTACGACATCGTTTCCCGTCGCCATCTGAATTGCTCACAGATCCAAACCCTATTTTCCCCCAGAAGCCATAGCCAACCACGAATTAAAGGTCAAATTTTCCAGAAATTAAACTTGAAAAACCGTAATAGCTCGATCAAATTCGCATCGAAACAATGAAATCTTACCGATTGGTTGACGTATGCGATCGGTTCGGAATTTCTGAGAGGCTGAAGGTGCAAGAGAAAGACGACGAGGTTCAGAACAGAAGCAGCTCTTCTGTTCAGTCTTCACTTCAGCTCAAGCGGGCATAGCTCTGAGGCTTAGCCGCTTAGGCATGGGCTGGGCCTAAGGTCTTGTTTGGCGGTTCGTATAATAGTTCGGATATGGTTAATAAAATGGATCCGGTTGGTTGGTACATTTTTGTATTCAATAGTATTCAGATTAATTTATTTGACACTACTTTTTTAGTTATCCACTTAATGCATTATGCATCAATGTATAATTCTTATCAAGTAACGTGAAAACATGCGAAATCGTTGAGTTTTTTTTACTGAAAACTTAGTTTAGGATTGCTTATATACGTCTTCTTTTGTGCACACGAATTTGCGTTGGATTATCTTCGATGAAGCAGATAGGTATAATGCTACATACACCATTTAAATTGTTATTTGATTGATCTAACATGGATGTGTACAAGGCCGACTATTGTAGCCAAATGTTGTCGTTGTACAGTTGTAACGTCATCTATGTCAAGCGTGTATTCATTATATATCAATATGATTTTCTTACAGAATTTTGGAATTGGGATTTGGAAAAGAAATAGAGGAAATACTAGATTTTTTGGGCTCAAGGCAACATGGCTCTGCCACTAGGAATGGCACTGTTACGAGTAAATTTGAGTTTCTGATACAGAATTTGCTATTATCAGCGACCTTAAACGAGAAAGTCAATCATCTTGAAAAAATGAGTTTAGAGAAACCCGTTATGATGATGACACACAAACATTGATGATGATGACACACAAACAGTGAAGGCAACATGCTCTGTTAGTGAAGATTATAGACTTCCAGCTCAATTGACATAGAAATATGTAAAAGGTGTGTCCCAATAAATTTCCTTTTTCCTTTCCTCTTTCTTTGTCGGGGCGGTTGATAAAAGTACATATATAGTGATTAAGTGTTTTGGTCAAATTTCCTTGCAGTACCATGTAATGCACGGATTGGTGTACTTCTTTCCATTTTAAAGTATCTTTTTGAGCTAGAAACTTCCGAAAAGGTAGCCTGCTTCTCAACTTTCCATTTTCTAATGGTCATGGAAACTAGCATTTCTTTTGTTTGTTTTAGGGGCAGTCTTATAGACTCTCCACGTTCAAGAATGTACTTTTCAATTCTATGATATTGTGCTAGTGAGTGCGTAACTTCGTATGGAGGGACAATAATTTCCTTGAGCACCAATGTTGTATCCTATTTCTTGAAAGTGATGTCTTATATTGTCGATTCATCGACACAGTTCGGATCTTTCTATGCAGTCTTCAACTTCATTTTGTTATGCTTTACCTTGTCGGTTCACTCACATGCTCATTTTACAGATTGTGCTGTTCTTTTCAACATGTGATGCAGTGGATTTTCACTACTCCTTGTTAAATGAGTTCCAATTCAAACCTTATTCAGGACCAGGTGCAGAAATTAAGCAGAGGCTTGTTAATTGTAAGACCTTCCAGTTACATGGGAATATGGAGCAGGAGGATCGAAGATCTGCTTTTGAGACATTCAGAAGAGAAAAATCGGCTCTTCTTTTGTCCACAGATGTTTGTGCTAGAGGTTTGGATTTCCCGAAAGTAAAATGCATTATACAATATGATTCTCCAGGCGAGGCTACTGAATATGCTCATAGGTATTTGAACCTCTTCGTCTTTCCTTTTCGTTTTTCATTTATTCCCCTTCTCTCTTGCATGTGCACTATATGAGCCAGACTTTTTTTTTTTCTTTTTTTCTCCAGTCTATGGGTGCTAGTTCAACTAATTACAACTTGTTATCCGCAACACTACGTAATTATTTATAATCAACCCTATGCTCATGAGATTTATAATTATAACACAATTACCGATAACAAATTTTCCTTAATTTATTCGAATATTTGAAAATTTTAAGAACTAATTGGTTTTTAGAATGGGACTAACATTTTCTTTTTCAACGGTAGAATTACATGCTTATATGTTGTAAGATTTGTTTCTGAGCATGGAGTTCCCTAGGCTAACCATTCATGCATCTTTAATGTTATTCATGATATTACATTGAGGTTCCCCAAAGATGTTTATTTCATCCTTGATGTAGGGTTGGAAGAACTGCTCGGCTTGGTGAAAGAGGAGATTCATTGTTGTTTTTACAGCCAATTGAAATGGATTATTTGAAAGAGTTGGAGAAACATGTTGTTTCTCTAGCAGAGTTTCCCTTCCTCAAAATATTAGATGGTTATCCACTATACGGTCATAAGCATGTCAAGAAGTTTGTTTCCATTGACGCACATCCCTAGGTGATGTCTTTGCAAAAGGCACTGGAAGCATTTACATATAAGGTACTTCTCTTCTCCTGTTTCTTCTTCAGTGTGCCTCAGGGTATGCTTTACGTTGTTGTGTTTGTACTGTAAAGAAAGCCCTACATATGGAGAATGACTTATATGAATGGGATCACCGCCACTATGGCTTCCAGTTTGAATAAAACAATGACATGTGTAAGATTTTCAATGCATGGCATTGTATTAGTGGATTGGGACACTATGTGGCGGTAAACCTGTTTCATGTAAGTTGTACTCCTACATCTGGTTTCGTGCATTTGTTTCTTTCCTAAATGATGTGATATTTTGTATATGTTGGTGATTTAAGAAATAGTCCTTAGTTAGCTCACGTTATGCTTGACAGATGTTTAGATATGAAGATTCACAGTATTTTGAGATCCTTTCTATATGATTAACGATAACTTATTTGCTTTTGTTTCTTACCTTAGCCGGATATGAAGACATTAGCTAAGAACGCATTTTGCTCGTGGGTTCGCGCATACATTGCCCACCGCGGTGAACTGAAAAGAATTTTTATGGTAAAGAAACTTCACTTGGGACACGTTGTGAAAAGCTTTGCATTGAAAGACCAGCCTTCCTTGGTTGGTAAGTTATTCCACAATCAAGAAAAGAAAAGGATGAGCGGTGAAAAGCAAAAGGGATTATCAAGAAAGAGGAAGGTTTTGAGGAAAACATGATTTCGCGGTCAATGATTGTTTTCGTTAATGAATTTTGTATGCGGTTATCTATTTTTTGGATCATAGAAGGATAAGTTTACCTTGTTTTGACACACTCGCAGAGTTGCAGTCATCTTTGTTGTAACTTATGAAGTACGAAATCTCACTTCTTAAGCCGAAGTGAGCAATAGGCCCAGGATTTTAGCTAACATTGTTAAACTGTTGCCCAACTCACAATTTTGAATTTTCTTAGGCTGGGAGCCCAATTGACAGTTTAGACCAATTTGTTTATGTCTTGGAAAATGCAAGGAGCTGGGATCAGCTCTGCACATGGCGGAGTTCTGGCCATTCATATTTGTGGAATCCACAAAGTATGAATGGTCAGGATCAGCTTTGCAGGCGGTCATGTTTTGATCATTAATGTTTGTGAGACCTGCTAAGTAGAAATGATCAAGATCATCCAGCTCGTGCACGTATGCGAATGATCCTAACACTCATGCCCAACTTTAACGAGCATTTTTAGAGACTAACAATTTAGGCATCAATAGTCTAGACTACTTAGTAGTCCGGCCATAAATTAGATTAACAAGGAAAAATAGTATTTTTGCAAAGCAATTCTGAACGTTTATTTTTCGTACTATTGAGTAGTTCGAACTATTAAGGAAAAATTGCTAACTTGGAGAGAAAAAAGCAATGAATAAAATAGATTTACCAACCTGCTATCTGAAGCTGCTGACTAAGACTCAAGGATCTAGTTCTTATTTATTTTTTGGTTTTTATCACAAATAGTCTCTGAGATTGATCAAACTCATCATTTTGGTCCCTCACTTTCAAAATCAATCATTGTTGTCCTTGACATTCACTACCGCACATCAATTTGGTATTTCCGTTAAGATTCCGTCAACTATTCTATTAGTTTATATGTGGGACCCACAAATCAAATAAAGTGATGATATGTGAATTACACAAAACAAGAGTTTTTATCGCAAATGGTCCTTGACATTGATCAAACTCCTCATTTTGGTCTTTGAGTTTCAAAAATTGATAAATTTGGTCCCTGACTTTCAATGCCGCACATCAGTTTTATCCTCCCGTTAAAGTTTCATCAATATTTTTTGTCCCACTAATTCAATCATATGGCGCCAAATGGATTAACTATAAGAAACTATTTTTTTTTTTAAGATTTAAAACTAAAAGTAAAATAAGAAACTAAAAACCAAAACTAAAAGAAAAAAAAAGTCATCGTCATCTTCCTCAAGGTATGATCAAAAGGAAAAGGATGGCACCATGACACCACTAAAGTACATGGCCTCCTGAACTCACTCATCATTCTCTCTAATTGGTTATAATTCTAAAGGCTTTTTAGCTAAAATGGTCACTGAGATTGTCCATCATATATTATTTTGGTCATTCCATTAAATAACTCTGTTAAGTGGTCCTTGAGCTTTTTAACAGAATGACCAAAATGATGGATGGTGAACAATCTCAGGGACCAAAGTTATGTGTTATGCAAATCTTAGGGATCAAAATTATGTGTTATGCAAATCTTAGGGACCAAAGTTATGTGTTATACCCTCAACTTAACAGAGTTTTTTTAATGTAATGACCAAAATAATAGATGGTGGACAATCTCAGGGACAACTTTTATTGATTTTAAATCTTAGGGACCAAAGTTATGTGTTATGCAAATCTCATAGACCATTTTGACTAAAAAGCCAATCCTAAATCCTATCAAATTTGAATTGAATTTGGATTCGATGGTTATAATCCTAAATCCTATCAAATTTGAACTGAATTTGGATTCGATTTTATCGAATTTAGATTGAATTTTTTTTTCCAATTGGGATTGTGGGATGTGAGAAAAATGTCAGTGCGGAATACTCTTCTTTTGGTTCACTCTTAAAAAAAATAGTTTCTTATAATTAATCAACGTTGAGCCATATAATTGGATTAGTGGGACCACATTAACAGAGGGAATAAATTGTTGCGCGGTGGTGAAAGTCATGGACCAAATTTATTGATTTTTGAAACTCATGGACCAAAATGAGGAGTTAAATCAATGTCAGGGACCATTTGCGATAAAAACCCTTATTCTGTGTAATCCACGTGTCA